CTCTCCGAACCGGATTCCTTTCGACTCCTGACTCACTGCCGGCATTGCGAATACAGGGACCGGACGGCCCTCACCACAGGACCGGAGGACGACCCGGGGAACACAGGTCGAACGCCTTCTCCAAATCCACAAAGCACATGTGGAGAGGTTGGGCAAACTCCCATGAACTCTCGAGTATCCGATAGAGAGTGTAGACCTGGTCCAGTGTTCCGTGGCCGAGACGAAAACCACACTGCTCCTTCTGAAGCCGAGATTTGACCATCCAACAAAGTCTCCTCTCCAGTACCTTGGAGTAGACCTTTCTGGTGAGGCTGAGGAGTGTGATCCCACGATAATTGGAACACACCCTCCGGTCCCCCTTCTTGTAGAGAGGGACCACCACCCCGGTCTGCCATACCATTGGCACCGCCCCCGATCGGCACGCGATGCTGCAGAGATGTGTCAGCCAAGACAGTCCTACAACATCCAGAGACTTTAGATAGTCAAGACGGATCTCGGGGCGGCACGGTGGCTGAGTGGATAGCACTCTCACCTCTCAGCAAGAAGGTCCTGGGTTCGAATCCCGGTTGGACCAGGGCCTTTCTGAGTGGAGTTTGCATGTTCTCCCCGTGTCTGCGTAGGTTTGCTCCGGTTTCCCCTACCACTAAAAATATGTACAATAGGTCTGGCATGTGCCTCCTGTACTGGCCCCACTCCCAAAAAAAATAACAATTGTAAACCGCTTTGAGACTCCGATGTGCAGTGAAAAGGCGGTATATAAATAAATAAAGATTACATTACATTACATCTCATCCACTCCTGGAGCCTTGCAACCGCGGCACACTCCTCCAGCCTGACGGCATCCCTTACTACCCGTTTCCACCACCGGGTTCGGGGGTTGCTGGCGGGACCAGCACCTGAGATCTTGTGACCCCAGCTATGAGCTGCCACATCAGCGATAGAGGAAGAGAACATGGTCACCTCAGACTCAATGTCCCCCTCCTCCGCCGGGACCTGGGAAAAGCTCTCCCGGAGGTTTGAGTTGAAAGTCCGTCTGACAGGGGGCTCAGTAAGATTTTCCCAGCAGACCCTCACTACACGCTTGGGTCTACCAGGTCTGACCGGCTTCCTCCCCTGCCAGCGGATCCAACTTGCGACCAGATGGTGATCGGTTGACAGCTCCGACCCTCTCTACACCCAAGTGTCCGAGACACGTGGTCGAAGGTCAGATGATACGACAACAAAGTCGATCATCGACCTCCGGCCTAGGGTGTCCTGGTGCCACATGCACTGGTGGACACCCTTGTGCTCCAACATGGTGTTCGTGATAGACAAACTGTGACTAGCACAGACCAACGACTGAACACCGCTCAGGTTCAGATCAGGGGGCCGTTCTTCCCTATCATCCCTCTCCAGGTGTCAATGGCATTTCCCACATGGGTGTTGAAGTCCCCCAGGAGAATAACGGAGTCCCCGGGCGGTGCATTGTCCAGTACACCTCCCAGGTACTCCAAGAAGGCCGGGTACTCTGCACTGCTGTTTGGCCCGTAAGCCGTCAAAACAGTGAGAGACTTGCCGCCCCACCCGGAGGCGGAGGGACGTGACCCTCCCATTCACCGGGGAGAACTCCAACACGGGGCAGCTGAGATGGGGGGCAATGACAATGGCCACCCTCGTTCGCCGCCGCTCCCCGCAAGAAACACCAGAAAAGTTGGTATCTCTCAACCTCCCCCACGAGCTCGGGCTCCTTCCCGCACTGAGGTGACGTTTCACGTCCCAAGAGCCAAATGTTGTGTGTGCGGACTGGGTCGCCGAGGTCTGCGCCTTCGACTGCTGCCCAGTCCTCTCTGGACCTGACCACCTCGGATCCCTCTGTGAGTGGTGGGTCCACAGGACGGCCTGCCCACGTCGTCTTTTCGGGCTGAGCCCTGTGGGGCCCCGTGGGCTAAGGCCCGGCCACCAGGCACTCGCTTTCGTGCCCCAATCCTAGGCCTGGCTCCAGGGTGGGGCCCGGGCTACGCCATGCTGGGCAACGTGACGATTATTATCTATGGGCTGTGATTCGTCTGACTCGTCTACCCGAGACCTGTTTGCTATGGGAAGCCCTACCAGGGGCATAAAGCCCCAGACAACATAGCTCCCAGGATCCTCCGAGTACTCAAACTTCCCCTCCATGCTAAGGTGGCAGTCCAGGGGGGAGCCATTGATTGAGCCATATACGCTGTCATCTTTGATCGCCGAGGCTTTGGAAAATGCCAGTGACACTTGTAAAGGGTTGATTGGGAAGAATGGCCCCCCTTATCTGAACCCTAGCGGCATTCATTTGTTGGACTTCTGTGCTAGTCACAGTTGGTCCATAACGAACACCATGTTCGAGCTTAAGGGTGTCCACCAGTGCACATGGACACCCTAGGCTGAAGGTTGATGATCGAATTGGTTGTTGTATCATCTGACCTTCCCTCAGGTATGCATACAAGCTTCCGGGAGAGCTTTTCCCGGAGGGGGGGGGGGGGGGGGGGGACATTGAGTCTGAACCATGTTCTCCATTTCTATTGCCCGTGCGGCCCGTTGCTGTGGTCGCAAGGTCTCTGGTACTGGTCCCGGCGGCAACTCCCAAACCCGGAGGTGGACACCATTAGTAAGGGATGCAGTCAGAGCTGCTGACCTCAACTGGGAATATTGTTTGGCAGTGGAAGGAATACTTCAAGGTTTTCATCCCCTCGTCATGTCCTCCGTCCCAGAGGCATAGGCTGAGGATGTCGGCGCGGATACTTCCATCTCCCTGGCTGAAGGCACCAAGGTGGTTGGCAGCCTCCTTGGTGGCAAGGCTCTGGGAGTGGATGAGATCTGTCCTGACTTTAAAGTCTCTGGATTTTGTAGGATTGTCTTGGCTGACACGTCTCTGCAACATCGCGTGGCGATCGGGGGCGGTATGAATGGAGTGGCAGGCCAGGGTGGTGGTCCCTCTCTACAAGAATGGGGACTGGAGGGTGTCCTTCAAATTATCGTGGGATCACACTCCTCAGCCTCCCCGGTAAGGTCTACTCCAAGGTACTGGAGAGGAGACTTTGTCGGATGGTCAAATCTCGGCTTCAGAAGGAGCAGTGTGGTTTTCGTCTCGGCCACGGACACTGGACCAGCAGAGGACTCAGTGAGTTCACTGGGGTCCTTTACAAACAAACCTACTTTTCTTTTTATTCAACAGTGGCAAAACATAAGTTCTCCTTAACGGTATTATAAAATTAATATGTTTAACACTGAAGAGATTAACTCATTCACTGCCCATGACGACAAAACTCGTCATGTTGAATAGTAACGCTCACTGCCCATGACGAGTTTGACGAGTTTTTCATGTTATTACACGGGAGGCTGCAGTAATGTCTGGCGCACCTTGTGAATGACCCACAATACTTATATATAGTGCAAATGTACCTGTAATGATAAATCAACACCAGTAGGATGCAGTATTGCGCCACAGGAGAGGTCATAAGTCATTGGAGAGAAGGAGGAGGAGTGTGGGAGTGTTTGGAGAGCGTGCTGCTGTAGCAGAGCGATGATAGCGTAGCATTGAGACGGATCAGCGATCTAGTTTAGCGATAGTACAGCAAGAGTGATGGCGAAAAAGAATAGTTATAAGCAGTGTACACTGCTTCAGAGATTGACTCGCGGATCAGTGAGTGAGGTCGAGAGGGGAGAGAGTGGAGACCCCGGTGGAGGTCCGTCTCTGCAGCCCAGAGCCCGGAGCAGGGACACACCTTCGGCCTCTCGCAGCGTATCAGCTGCTGTTGTTACTGATGCCTTGGATTCGTTCAGAGAACCTGATCATGATTTATCGGATGAGTGGTTGCAGTCTCAATCCAGCAGAGCATCCTCTCCAGAAGCTCCACAAAGAGTCGAAGGTAAGAACTTGCTAAATTGCCTAGAATATGCTAACTTGAGAGGAGGGAAAGGCGCAGAAACTTGCTCTGATCTGCAAAGTAACACAGCGCTCAAATCCTACTGTTTCTTTAGTAAATGCCAGTTATGCGTTTTATCATTGTTGTATTTATTATTTTTATGTTTAGTTATTTCATACTTGAACATCTTGTTGCAGTGACATAGCTCTGACTAAATGAAATGTGTTCTTCATTCACAGATTCTGATAAAAGAGCCCTCCCCATTGGGGTTGACAGGGCAAGGAGCAGAGGTAAAGATGCCTCCTCATACCATTGTACTTTTGTATATATTCTACTGGTATAGTGATTTACAAATTTATATTATTTACAGGTGGTGCATCAAGAGGCAGTTGCTGTGCACAAAAAAGGTAAAAGAACTATTTCTATTCTTGTACATCCCATGGCAATATAATATAATAATAATATAGTATACTTGTTTGGTCCAAAAGTAGTCAGTCAATAATGTGGGAGGAAGGCCTTCATTGTATTTTATGTATTGATTTATTGTAACAAATTCACTGTATAATATAGTTATTGTGTGTATCCATTTTCCAGCACGTTCGTCACCCAGAAGCTCTGGGGAAGATGGCTGACAGGAGGATGAGTGGGAGCCGAGTCAGTTGCCCTTCACAGGAGCTCCTGGACCTCAGAGACTGCGGACAGAGGCTGCGAAGCTGGATTCATCTGATCCAGCTGACTTTCTGGAGCTGGATTCATCTGATCCAGACTTTCTGGAGCTGGATTCATCTGATCCAGACTTTCTGGAGCTCTTCTTCACGGAGGGAGAACTACAAATGGTACACAGCGTGTCGTGTTCCGTTGCACACAGTGTTTCAACCTCTACAACTCAATGCTGAACTACTGGGAGGACTGAAAAAGCAGATGAACTCACTCATACACACACTCACGAACACTCACACGCACATGTCGCAGTGCTCCTGCAGACTCCCTTTTTTTTATCAGTCTATACATCCCCAGACTTACGCCCAGGTGTCGGACTAAATAGCTGGTAACGCCCCTCTGTCCCGGGACACTCGTATTGGACGTCACAGCCCATAGGATAGGTTTAAAAGGGGGGGAGGAGGAATGTACAGGAGGAGAAGCCGGAGTAGAACTTGGGACATATGCAGAGTAAAACGCCGGTTTGAGACGGATCATCGACCTGGGACTCGGGAGCAGGAGCGGCCAGACGCGGACCCCTGGACGAGCCAGAAAGACCCTGTACAACGCCTGCACAGCGATAAGTACAGGGACGTGTCCCTCACTCTGCAATCTACACTATATGCGTGTTTTAGTCCGAGGGCTTGAACTCACTGGCACCGCTTGTGATCCGTAGCTGGGATTGCGTGCGGGGCAGTCTACAGCGGGGCAGTCTACAGCTCTACAGCGGGCCAGTCTACAGCGGGGCAGAGGGAGACCGGGAAAAGATCCAAATACAACGCTGCAACCCCTACGTGTGAAAGGGACGTATGAGAACTGCACAGCGGCTGCGTGTGCGCGTGTCTGGTCTCGTCATGGTCTAAGGCCAGGTCTCTGTCTTACAGCATCCCACGCAGCCCGACGCATCCCGACACCTCACCCACCTGCGCGGATTTGGACAGCGGGCCCGGACCGGAGGATGTTTATTTGACAACGCCCTGCTGTGTTAAGTAAAAGGGACGTTCCCTAGTTTCTCCTTGCTGTGCGTGTGATTACCTGTTGTGTCGTGCCTGAGGACCCGGTCTGTGTGTCTACAGCTCCAATCAGTGGTGTGGCAGCGGTGGTCGGAGGTGGTGCGGGTCCAGCTGGGGACTAGACCCGGACAGTGGGCTGTGGCAACCTAGGGGCCGCGCTACGTCGCAGTGCACTCCGTGGCCAAAAGGGGGCAGCATTGGATAAGTGACTGGAGTCACTAGACTCTGAGCTGCGCTCTAGTGAACTCTATTTTAGCATAACGTTTTATTAGGTCTTAATATTCTCACTGCCCCATTCGCTTTTATATATTTATATTTTTAGCACATTCTATGTATAAATAAACTTTTTGAAACTACCATAAGTCTTGGGTCATTTCTCAGTGGTACAATTTAAAGGTGGAAAGTTCTATCCTGACATTATTTGGCGTTCGCTGGCAGGATCCACCAGTACTACTGAGAAATGGACCAGAGTAGGCAGGCTAGTCCGGCTAGTCCGGCTATTAGTGCAAATTTTATGATGCCATGGTTCATGGGAGCCGCATGGATCCCTAAATTTGGTGGTAAACGGGACCAGTTTGGGGAGTGGAAGGCACAGGTGGAGGCAATGTTGCGTGCACAAGGCCTTAGCCAGCAACAACAGGTAGATTTTGTCCTCGGGGCCCTGGAAGGTGACGCTAAGCGAGAAATAATGCTGGCTAGTGCCAATGAGAAGGACACAAGTGCTAAAATAATGGACTTATTAGAAAGAGTATACGGCCAACCTGCAACAAAAGCCCAAGCGCGAATGAACTTTTTTAACTGTAAACAAAAGACTGATGAATCTATAAATGCCTTTGTTTTGCGCCTCAGAGAAGCTTTCTGTACGTGGCAGGAGAAGGATGAAGGAGGAACCGGTGACTCTGATGATTTGCTCCTAGACCAATTCATGGTGGGCCTTCGTCGAGGACTGGTTAAACAAGAGCTTAGCCGACAGCTGCGCCGCCGTGACGGCACAACATTCAAGGCCGCCTGCACAGAGGCCCGGGCATTGGAACAGGAGCTGCAGGCGGAGGAGGAATCACTGGTCACTAACCGTGTCACAACTTACGTCCCGCCCAAACAGCCAGTAATGGATCCAGTGCAAATTAAGGAGCAAATACAATCTGAACTCAAAGTGGAGCTTCTGGGGGAGATAAAAAAAGAGATAAAAGAACAGATAAAATCTCTATCTTCCACAATAGTAGAGGACATCCGCACTCAGCTCTTTAATCACAACCAGTCGCCAGCTGGGTTCTCCCCACGCAGGCAACAGCGCCCAAGTACCCCTAATTATCGTTGGGATGAACAAGGGAGACCAATCTGCCGGAACTGCGGCCACTCTGGACATATGCAGCGCTACTGCCCACAAAGACCCACTCAAAGGCCCCAGGATTTTTAAGCACCCCTGCAGCTGAGGGCCAAGCGGTAGGGACGGCTATTCTCGAGCCCATAACTCCAGCAACAGAAACTCACGAGGCAGCCAACACAGGACTAGGACAGAAGACTGTGCTGGTGGGTGAGTGCCCCGATGTACTAGTAAAGATCAATAACTGTACTATTCCTTTTGTGCTTGATACAGGATCGCAAGTCTCCATGATGAGCCTGAGTCTATTCAAAAAGCATATGGAGGGAACCCAGGTGCAGAGTGCTGATGAAGTCTCGTGGCTGACCCTGCGCGCTGCAAATGGGCTACAAATCCCTTATATTGGCTATGTCACGGTCAACTGCCTGGTAGGAGGAGTTAACATTCCAGAAAAAGGAATAATAATTGTCGATGACAGCTGTCTTGGGCCAGAAAAGGGCATATTGGGCATGAATGTTATTCAACCACTGTGGTCTTCACTCACCCAGGGCAACCATCCAGGGCTGGCAGCGTTCAAGACCACTGTAACGTCAGCGGAAGGGAAGGCGTGGGGCAAAGCGTTCACTATATGCCAGCGAGTGGAATGTAGCGGACCTAGGCCCAGAGTGGAGGGGGTAGCAAAACTCTCCAGACAGCCACCTGTCATCATTCCGCCCCACACAGAGATGGTCCTGTGGCTGCAGGTAACCGAAACAAATGTTGATTGTACTGTTACTATTGAGCCTTTACCCAATGATAATGGTGAGTGGCGCATTGGGCGGACCCTGGCCATATTGAAGAAGGGGAAAGTACCCTGCAGGCTCTGCAACCCAAATCCCTACCCCGTTGAAGTGCCCCAGCGACAACCCCTGGCAAAGGTGACTGAGGTGGATTCAACAGATGTTCAGGAAGAACAGCAACTGGTCTTGAACAGTGTGGGACCTGACGTTATAGAGGTGGCAGTAAGGAGGATAACTGGGGATAGGGACTCTGACGATGATTCACACCCTGCAATGTCATTACAGGGCGATGGCCTGATGGGAGAGCAGCAACAGAAAATGTCTAGCCTACTACGAAAGTGGAAGCACGTGTTCTCTCGTCACGACGAGGATTTCGGACGTACCGGAATCGTCAAACATCAGATTCCGACTGGCATAGCCCCGCCGAGTCGTGAGCGCTATAGACCAGTACCTCCCAGCTTGTATCCAGAGCTAAGATCTCTAATAAAGAACATGATGGAGACCGGCGTCGTGCGGGAAAGCGCGAGCCCCTGGGCGGCACCAATTGTACTCGTACGAAAAAAAGATAGCTCCTGGAGGTTCTGTGTCGACTATCGCAGGCTGAATGCTGTGACTCACAAGGACGCTTATCCCCTCCCACGCATAGAGGAGTCACTGACGGGGTTAAAGGCAGCCAAATGGTATTCAACTTTAGACTTGGCAAGTGGCTATTGGCAAGTTGAGGTTGAACCAGCAGACCAAGAAAAAACTGCCTTTACCACACCTTTTGGCCTTTATGAGTTTGAGAGGATGCCTTTTGGACTCTGTAATGCCCCGGCAACGTTTCAGAGGCTCATGCAAAGATGCTTAGGCAATATGGTGAATGACTTTTTGCTGATTTATTTGGATGACGTGGTATTGTTTTCCCCAGATTTCGACAGCCATTTGGCTCATCTGGAGGAGGTGTTTCAAAAACTGGAGAGCCACGGCCTGAAGCTTCAGCCCCGGAAATGCTGCTTATTCCAACGCAGTGTGAAATATCTGGGACATGTGATCAGTGAGGAGGGTGTGGCCACCGACCCAGAAAAGACTGAGGCTGTGAAGGAGTGGCCGATACCGCAGACGGTAAAACAAGTAAAGTCCTTTCTGGGGTTCGCGGGGTATTACCGCCGTTTCATTTCTGGATTTTCTAAGATTGCCTTGCCACTGAATGCCTTGACCCATAATGCCACACACTCTAAGTCTGCTCCGGTCTCCTGGTCAGCAGACTGCCAAAAGGCATTTGACCGGCTGAAGGAAGCATTGATTAACGCCCCTATATTGGCATACGCAGATTTCTCAAGGCCCTTCCATTTGTACACAGACGCCAGTTTTGAGGGCCTCGGGGCAGTGCTGGCCCAGGTGCAAGATGGTAAAGAACGCGTTATTGCTTATGCCAGCCGTAGCCTTCAGCCCACAGAGCGGAATGACCAGAACTATAGTTCTTTCAAGCTTGAACTGTTGGCATTAAAATGGGCAGTCACCGATAAGTTCAAGGACTACTTATATGGGGCTGAATTCACGGTCTTCACGGACAACAATCCGCTGGTGCACCTGGACACAGCCCGCTTGGGTGCTGTCGAGCAAAGATGGGTGGCACAGCTAGCCAATTTTAAATACACTTTGAAGTACCGTCCTGGCACCCAAAACCGCAATGCAGACGCCCTATCGAGGCTTCCAGAAGTGGGAGGGGGGCAGACTCAATCCCTCCAAGTCACTGCAGAGGAAGAGGCATCATGGGAGACTAGGCAGAGTGCTGACCCAGATCTGCTGCGCATTAAACGGGCCAAGGACCAGAGGCAGGACCGTCTTGAGGTATGTGAGGGCACATCTCTGTACATGAGGAGTATATTGAGGGACTGGGACAGGATCATAATAGAGGATGGTATTCTAAAGAGACAGTGGGAGGATGTGGGAACGGGGGCTCTAACCCTACAGATTCTTGTGCCCAAGGAAGAGACGATGGCGGTATGGAAAGCTTACCACGAAGGAATGGGACACCCCAGTCGAGATCGGACCGTCGCTGCCCTGAAACAACGCTGCTTTTGGCCTGGGATGGACAAGGACTGCAAAGAATGGGCTAAGGACTGTCTACAATGCCTCTGCAACAAACCTAGACCAGATGGTAGGGCCCCGCTAATGCCAATCAAGACGTCTTACCCATTTGAAGTTGTGGGTATCGACTACCTGTCCCTCTGCCGGCCTGGAGACAGGTATCAATACATTCTGGTAATGACAGATTTGTTTTCCAAATATGCAGTTGCAGTCTCCACCTTAGACTAATCAGCGAGCACTACAGCAAAGGCCCTGTACCACTATTTGATACTAACGTTTGGTTGCCCAGAGCAGGTGCTGTCCGATCGGGGAGCTGCTTTTGAATCATCCCTCTTGAAGCAGCTCTGTCAACTCTACAGGTGCCAAAAGAGTCGGACTACAGCTTACCACCCACAGGGTAACGGTGCATGTGAACGATTCAACCAGACCCTGCTACAATTGTTGAATTCACTGACAGACACAGAGCAGAGTCACTGGCCGGAGAGGCTGCCGGCTTTAGTACAGGCCTACAATAGCACCGTTCACAGCACTACAGGTCTTACGCCGCATTACGTAGTCTTTGGCAGGCACGCGCGGTTACCGGTGGACTGGTCGGCTGGCATGGCCCCCACCATTGAAACACAAGCTCTGGAAGGATGGGCATTGCAGCACCAACGAGCCCTGAGCAATGCATATCGGCTTGCCAGTAACCAGACTCAAAAACGCCAGGGTTGTGACCAGGCCCGCTACAATCGGAGGGGCCAATTGCCCCCCCTCCTCCCAGGAGAGCGTGTACTGCTTCGCAATTTCCGTCGGCGGGCGAGGGGCAAGTTGTCTAGAAGATGGAGTCCCGAGCCTTATGTAATCGTGAGTCAACTTCGGGAGGGCCACCCGGTCTATGTTATCCGACCAGAGGGCAGGGAGGGTCCAACTCACACCTTCCACCGCAATAACCTACGCCCTTGTAATATCCGTGTCTTCCAGGAGGAGGCGCCTGAAGTGGGATCGGGCAGTCCAGAGCACCACCCCCAGCAGCCCCTTTCGAATTGCTGGCTGCCCAGAGTGACTGTTACCGGAACTATACAGCCCTTCGAGCCACCCAGAGACATTCAGGTAGCTGCTCCACCTGGCCTTCCCGAACAACCCCCGCCTGTAAGACGGTCCCACCGCTCAAATTTTGGCACTAGGCCACCTAGGTATCAGGTTTGATCCGTCGGGACGACGAGACATTAAAGTGGGGGGAAAATGTCGCAGTGCTCCTGCAGACTCCCTTTTTTTTATCAGTCTATACATCCCCAGACTTACGCCCAGGTGTCGGACTAAATAGCTGGTAACGCCCCTCTGTCCCGGGACACTCGTATTGGACGTCACAGCCCATAGGATAGGTTTAAAAAGGGGGGAGGAGGAATGTACAGGAGGAGAAGCCGGAGTAGAACTTGGGACATATGCAGAGTAAAACGCTGGTTTGAGACGGATCATCAACCTGGGACTCGGGAGCAGGAGCGGCCAGACGCGGACCCCTGGACGAGCCAGAAAGACCCTGTACAACGCCTGCACAGCGATAAGTACAGGGACGTGTCCCTCACTCTGCAATCTACACTATATGCGTGTTTTAGTCCGAGGGCTTGAACTCACTGGCACCGCTTGTGATCCGTAGCTGGGATTGCGTGCGGGGCAGTCTACAGCGGGGCAGTCTACAGCTCTACAGCGGGCCAGTCTACAGCGGGGCAGAGGGAGACCGGGAAAAGATCCAAATACAACGCTGCAACCCCTACGTGTGAAAGGGACGTATGAGAACTGCACAGCGGCTGCGTGTGCGCGTGTCTGGTCTCGTCATGGTCTAAGGCCAGGTCTCTGTCTTACAGCATCCCACGCAGCCCGACGCATCCCGACACCTCACCCACCTGCGCGGATTTGGACAGCGGGCCCGGACCGGAGGATGTTTATTTGACAACGCCCTGCTGTGTTAAGTAAAAGGGACGTTCCCTAGTTTCTCCTTGCTGTGCGTGTGATTACCTGTTGTGTCGTGCCTGAGGACCCGGTCTGTGTGTCTACAGCTCCAATCAGTGGTGTGGCAGCGGTGGTCGGAGGTGGTGCGGGTCCAGCTGGGGACTAGACCCGGACAGTGGGCTGTGGCAACCTGGGGGCCGCGCTACGTCGCAGTGCACTCCGTGGCCAAAAGGGGGCAGCATTGGATAAGTGACTGGAGTCACTAGACTCTGAGCTGCGCTCTAGTGAACTCTATTTTAGCATAACGTTTTATTAGGTCTTAATATTCTCACTGCCCCATTCGCTTTTATATATTTATATTTTTAGCACATTCTATGTATAAATAAACTTTTTGAAACTACCATAAGTCTTGGGTCATTTCTCAGTGGTACAATTTAAAGGTGGAAAGTTCTATCCTGACATTCTTATTAAGGGTTTGCACACTGGATGATATGGTCATTAAAATAATTCCTGATGTCTAGACTGTCAGTAACAGTAGTACCATTAATATCTAATGATATGGTCATTCTTTGTTTTCCCTCTTCCAGTGAGTTTGTCAATGCTTTTCCACAAGTGTGTCATGTTCCCTTTTGCTGCTTTGATCATTTCTGAGTGAAAGTCAGCCCTGGCCTTCCGGGCTAGCATGGTGACTTTATTTCGCAAACTTTTAAAAATCATTTGATCTTTATTCAATTTGGATTTAGTGGCTCTTTTGAGGTCTGAATCCCTATTTTCCATTAGATTCCAAATCGTTTTGTTGATCCAAGGTAATTTTATCTTAGCTCTTCTCTTTCTGGGTTGTGTTATAGTGTACTTGCTGATAATGTGTTTGATTTTTGTGATTAGACCATCACAAGCATGCTCTGCATTAGTCCAATTGACCTCAATCCATGGGACATTTTTGAGGTCATTGTCTATCAGGGGCCGGTCTTTTTTAGGAATATGGGGTGAGAATTGTTGTGTACCATATTGATTGTTATGTCTATATTTTGACAGCTTCCGTGTTATCAGTGTGATCTTATGGTCTGAAACCTATGAGTAAGTTGTAGCTTTTTTAAATGCGGTCAGGTTTATTAGTAAAGACCAAATCCAGTAGGGTTTGACAGGAGTGTGTTATTCTAGTCGGATTGCTTATCACTTGTGTCAAGTGTAGTTAATTTGTAATGTCTGCGTGACTTATTTAACCCGTCCAGATAAAAGTCTGTATACCACAATCACCTGAAGTGACATTTCTGGGGAGAGTGTGATTTTGATTTTCACAACTCAATGCTGTTTATTTGTTCACTTTTAATGTCTTCTCTTACATATATCATGACACCTCCCCTTATCCTACTTGACCTGTCCTTTCTGTAGATCTTATACCCCGGGACATTAATCAGGGCAAAAGGTGTTGTTGGTGTTAACCATGTCTCAGACAGGCCAAGGAAGTCCAAGTGAGAGTCTGATCATAGCTGCTGGATTTGTTCAGTTTTTTGCACAACACTTATAATATTAAGGTGCCCTCCAAATATTCCCTTTGGCTTTGAGTTTTGATCCCATAATATTTTTGCATGATTTACAGTTTGAAACATCTTTGCACTTTGTTGTTTAGTAGCAGCTGTGTTTCTGTTTGATTGTTATGATTTGAGAATCAAACAAACCTTTTTTATTTCTGCAGCCACATGTTACTTTACCAGTGAGATTAGCTCGACGCAATCTGGCAACCCGGATCACAGACTTTCTTTCACGGTGGAGGGTGGGACATCGAAATGAAAACAATAACAAGATTTAGGGGCAGTAAAACTAATTCGAAATTTGTATATATCGTCTGAACTACTGTTATCAGTTAATGAAGTATTGGAAAAGAGCATGGTTCAGTAATGCCTTTTGACATATAAAGGCCATTTAAGGTAGCCTGACTCTCGCCAGACCCTTGTAGATTGCTGCGCTTCTCACATGGGTCTGGGTCTGAGCCATAGCGTTGGATTTCAGAAGGCGGGCCTTGTAAAAAAAAAAATCCTTGTATGTGATTGGAGAAACCACTTGTCCGTTATCTTGAATGACGTCTTCCTTCAACCACTCACATCGAAGCACACGACTCCCACGGGTTGCCAAATGCCAGCAAGATATTCCAGCCCAAACCCCAGAATGATCTTTGGCTAAAAACATAATGTAATCAACTTGGGCTATCATGACTCTGTTTGTATTGTCTTGCTGTTTATTTATTACCTACAAGTCTCTTGGAAAAAAGTATGCGGAAAACCACCCAACCGGGCAACCCTGCTGCGTAGTGTTGTAAACAGGAACACCCTCAAATCTTTTTTTTGCTGACAAACGGTATAAATGAGTGTCCAATAGTGTTGTATACATATCCTGGTCATAATTTTGTCACTTCAGTGCATTAGTTGAAAGATCAACTTTTTGCCTAAAACCGTCAGTGAGGCGCCATCTACAGGCGACCTGTATTTACTACATTTGAATTTTGAATCTGGTGCCACCATAGGCGCAGCCGTGATGGCTCACGTCTGCAGTAATGGCTGACGTGAGTTGCCCTGCCGCCCTGAGGTATAAATCTGACTTGTATGCGTATTATCTTCATCTGTATGTCACCTGTACTCCGCATATCAGAGATAGGATGGCAACGCGCTTATGTGGGAACTGGCTCACCAGCAGTATAGCTCTCTTGGGAAGTGCGCAGCAGGTGCCACAGAGATCATTCATTCATCCATTAATTTAGGACCTGCGGAACCTCTCCTTCACAGAGCGAGGGTGAATAAGTGTCACTGAAGCTGCTCTCCAGAGCGGACAGAGTGTCCTACAGGGGGTGACAGTCCAGCATAGATTTTAGTTTGTCCAGGACCCTCCTGTCCCCCACCTGCTGCACTGTGTCCAGGGAACAGCCCAGGATAGAGTGGCCCCTGCACTCCAAAAGACCTGAGCCTCCTCAGCAGGTAGAGCACAAACACCCTTCTTGAACAGGGTGTTATGAGTCCAGTCCAGTTTGTAGTTCAGATTAACTTCCTCGTTCTTGATGATGAGACCAATAATGGTGGTGTCATCTGCATATTTGATGATCAAACTTGAGTCAGAAGAAGCAACGCAGTCATGGGTGTACAATGTGAAAAGCAGAGGACTCAGAATACAGTGCTCACAAACGCTACATCTCTTCGAGATCTGCCAGTGGGAAAGCTGTAAATCCATTTACACATGGCTTCGCACGGGCCGAGGGATCCGAGTATTATGTACAGTGGGGAAAAAAAGTATTTAGTCAGCCACCGATTGTGCAAGTTCTCCCACTTAAAACAATGACAGAGGTCTGTAATTGTCATCATAGGTACACTTCAACTGTGAGAGACAGAATGTGAAAAAAAATTTTTTTTAAAGAATTTATTTGTAAATTATGGTGGAAAATAAGTATTTGGTCAATAACAAATTCAACTCAATACTTTGTAATATAACCTTTGTTGGCAATAACAGAGGTCAAACGATTACTATAGGTCTTTACCAGGTTTGCACACACAGTAGCTGGTATTTTGGCCCATTCCTCCATGCAGATCTTCTCGAGAGCAGTGATGTTTTGGGGCTGTCGCCGAGCAACACAAACTTTCAACTCCCTCCACAGATTTTCAATGGGGTTGAGGTCTGGAGACTGGCTAGGCCACTCCAGGACTTTCAAATGCTTCTTACGGAGCCACTCCTTCGTTGCCCGGGCGGTGTGTTTGGGATCATCCCCATGCTTCACAGTAGGTATGTTGTTCTTGGGATGCAACTCAATATTCTTCTTCCTCCAAACACGACGAGTTGAGTTTATACCTAACAGTTCTACTTTGGTTTCATCTGACCACATGACATTCTCCCAATCCTCTGCTGTATCATTCATGTGCTCTCTGGCAAACTTCAGACGGGCCTGGACATGCACTGGCTTCAGCAGGGGGACACGTCTGGCACAGCAGGATTTGATTCCCTGTCGTCATAGTGTGTTACTGATGGTAACCTTTGTTACTTTGGTCCCAGCTCTCTGCAGGTCGATAACGAGTGGAGGACAGAAGAGCTTCTTAAAGAAGAAGTTACAGGTCTGTGAGAGCCAGAGATCTTCCTTGTTTGAAGTGACCAAATACTTATTTTCCACCATAATTTACAAATAAATTCTTTAAAATTCCATCCATCCATCCATCCATTTTCTTCCGCTTTATCCGTTGCCGGGTCGCGGGGGCAGCAGTCTAAGCAGAGACGCCCAGACTTCCCTATCCACACACTTCCTCCAGCTCGTCCGGGGGGACCCCAAGGCGTTCCCAGGCCAGCTGAGAGACATAGTCCCTCCAGCGTGTCCTAGGTCTTCCGCGGGGCCTCCTCCCGGTGGGACGTGCCCGGAACACCTCCCCAGGGAGGCGTCCAGGAGGCATCCGGAACAGATGCCCGAGCCACCTCAACTGGTTCCTCTCGACGTGGAGAAGCAGCGGCTCTACTCCGAGCTCCTCCCGTGTGACTGAGCTCCGCACCCTATCTCTAAGGGAGCGCCCAGCCACTCTGCGGAGGAAGCTCATTTCGACCGCTTGTATCCGCGATCTCGTTCTTTCGGTCATTACCCAAAGCTCATGACCATAGGTGAGGGAGGGAACGAAGATTGACCGGTAAATCGAGAGCTTTGCCTTTCGGCTCAGCTCCCTCTTTACCACAACGGTCCGATACAGCGACCGCATCACTGCGCATGCTGCACCGATCCGCCTGTCAATCTCACGCTCCATCCTTCCCTCACTCGTGAACAAGACCCCGAGATACTTGAACTCCTCCACTTGAGGAAGCACCTCTCCACCCACCTGCAGAGGGCAAGGCACCTTTTTCCGGTTGAGCACCATGGCCTCGGATTTGGAGGTGCTGATTCTCATCCCAGCCGCTTCACACTCGGCTGCAAACCGTCCCAGTGCATGCTGGAGGTCCTGGTTCGTTGGAGCCAACAGGACAACATCGTCCGCAAACAGCAGAGATGAAATCCTGTGGTCTC